AAAAACTAAAACAAATTTAAGAAAGAATCCAAAAATGAAAGTGTGTTGAATATACATAGATGGATCCATAGAAAAATATATTAACAATCAAGTCAAAATAGAAATAAAAAGTATAATCATAAACATGGAAATACTTGAAGAAGTAGAATTTAAAGACAAATGTAAAGATTTTTCATCTCCAACAAGACCTAACCACTATTACACTTCTCAACTTTAATACTGAGGCAATAATAATAAAAGATAGTCAAAGTGCAATTCACATAATACAATTAGAGATCTCACAAAAACAGAGAATAACAAAAAAACAAATATACTTGCAACAACTCTTATTTTTGAAAGGATGGAAGAGAGAACAGCAATCACCAAACTCAAGAAAATCATAGTATACACAAAAGACAAATACAATGAACAGGCAGATGAGTTAGCAAAAGAAAATAGAAAGCTTGACCATATATATATCATAGGTATCAACTATTAATAAATAAAAGGTATAAGAGAACATTCCAATGGAAGGGCAAGAACCTTAATATAGATATCAATGGGTTTATAAAGCAATGGCAAAACAGCAAATGGATTAGTACATGGGCTACACTAAAAAGAGATATAAAGCATGGTTTAGAACAGAAGACAAGAAAATGATAGACTGGAAAAGGACATGAGCAAGTCTTTCTCTATAGAGAATTACAAGTTTCCATACCAATAAACAAGACCATAGCAACAGAGTATTTAGATATAAACTGCTTTAATAAAGATGTACCCACCAAAAGTAGATTGAATGAAAGAAAACCTGGCTTGTATAAAGACAAGATATATTCCTGATACAAAAAATAAAAAACTATAGAACATATCTTTAGTAAATATTACAGAGACAAAATCAGAATCACATATATACAAGTGCTGAAAGAAGAAATATCCAGGATAAAAAAACAGAAGAAAACAAGCAATTGGAGAGAACAACTTGTGCATATTATAAATGATCAGAAATAACCATTAGATGCATAATCAAAGATATCTATGAAAAATATCTAGATTTCAATAATAGGAAGAAAAGAAAAACATAACTAGAAAAAGAAAAGGGAAAAAAGAAAGGGACAAAAAGTTGATATTCAATTCAAGGACATAATACAATACAAATCACTATTGGAGAGAGTAGAAAAAGCAAAAAGAATGCAGGAAAAACTAATAAAGAACTGGTTGGACTAGAAAAACAATATAATCAATTTCAATTTTTATTATTCATATAATAACAACACTAATGAAACCTTAGCACTTTAGTCTTGATGCATGCCAAAAAATAAATCAATAGAAACAAGTCAATATGAAGTATATTGGTATAGCACAAATTGCATTTAGAATAGTTTATAAATACAGTAGTAGTCTTGTAATAAGAAATATATATGCAAACTAAATAAATTAAATTAAACAAGACCTGGCTAGTTGAAAAATAAATAAATAAATAAAATAAAAAAAGCAGCTAAAGCATGTAAAAATTTTTAAAATGTTATAACAAGGCAAATAAAATTTATATACTGGTAGCTATTTTGGATCCAATATTTTAAAATATTATATTCACGAATGATAACTGAAAAAATTTAATGAAGAATATAAAAAAAAGCAAACATTTATTTTTATTTTTATATACAATACTGTTTTTAATATCAGTTATAGAACATTTTGATTCTACTGTTGTTACACACAATATAAATTGTATTACAAAAATGATATTTTAGTCTTGGTTAAAGGGAAATGTCTTGTAAATGATAATATCAACAATATTTTTTAAAAATATGATTAGTTAAATTTAAGATCTATAAAAACAATTAATATAGAAGAAATAAATAATACAGTTAGAGCAAAATTATTTAAACAATAACATATAGAAAAACAAAAATGAATTGTAATTATATTTTTTATTGTTCTGTATATTAGAAGAAATGGATATTTTAGAATAGTAAAAAACAAATAAATAGCAATTTTTACAATTAGTATTGACTATTTAGCAATACCTGCAACATATGTATCTGTAAACCAGGTCTTTTGATAAGTAACAATTTAATTACAGAAAAAAGAAATCGATTATTAGATAAAATAGCAAAAGCATATACTATATATGTTTAAAGTTATAATGGCAAGGATTATTAACAAATAGTAGTTAAAAATTTTAAATATATATAATATAGTTATATTTACAGTATATATTTAATAAATATCATAACAAATCTGTAGAGATGATTTACAGATGTTGACTTCATTAAACAAATGAAATCTTAATTCTAATTAAAGAATGTGCAATATATCATTCCCATAAATCACATTTAGAGACTTCATGTTACAGATGGGTGAGCTGGGTTGAGGAAATTTATACATACAATCTTTACTTGTAATGGTTCATTTTGATTATATAAATAAATGACACCAACCTGATTGAGAGAATAAATAATATTATTTTATTATTATAACAAAAGAAGCTTTTGATCTATAAATATATGTATTGTAATATTGCAGATTTTAAATCATTAAAGTTGTAAAATTAAAGCTATAATTATTAGAACTATTTATGTAATTGTTAGACATATAATTGTTAAATCTGCAACTTTAGCCTTATAATTGTTACAATTGTTAAAACTAATAGTATTGTATATCTACAATACATATATAGATATAAATTAAGCATGCGATGAATAAAAACTGAAGAATATAATTGAATATAATTAAGCTATATATTGATTTATTGCTTGTTACTTACTATTGACCAAATATAAATATAAGCAATATACAGTATAATTAATATATTCAGCTATCCAGATAGTATTTAAGAAAATTGTTGCTTGATAATTGATTACTAACCAGGTAAATTAATATAATAATAAGTAAGACAATAGTATTTTGAATTTTATAATATTGATATACTCTGCCACTAATACTACCCCCTTTTAGTAAAATACCAGGGGTACTGTATGCAGTGATATATAATAATTTTCTGGTTTTTATTAATTTTTTGAATTTTTTTATTTAGCTTGAATTTTTAATATATAGCTATTATTATTTAGAAAATTCTTGCTGATATATTTATTTGCAAATAAGTAATAATTAAATGTGAAAATACTATCAACATTTATTATAAGATTATTTATAATTATAAAAAAATATAGAAATATAAATAAGTTTTCAAAAGTTATAAAGTTACCAAAAACCATCAATCTTTGCTATAAAAGATAAGTAAAGAGAAAAATAAATCAACCAATTACCTGTATACTATATTAAAAATTGTGGACTAGTATGGGTAAGCTAATATAATTATCCCTTAAATTATGACATTTTTTTATAATGTTTAACTAAAAAGTTCTTTTCATTTATTTGTTTAAATAATCAAAATTTTTTTTAAAAAATTTATATAATATTATCATTAATTATATATTATCTATTAATAGTATTTTTTGTTATTTTATTTAATAAAAATTTAGTGTTAATTATAAAAAAAAAATTTTTATAATAAAAAATAATCTTAGACAAACTTAAATAATTTAATTATAAAAGTAATTTATTTTGAAAATTTTTGATAAAATTTTGATTTTTCATTTAATAAAGTTAATAAAGAATATTTTTAACTATATTTTTTATAATATAAATAAGTTTAAAAAAAAACTCTTCACAAAATCAAAAATCTAAATTCTTAAAATTGCCTTTTTGATAATTTTAAGAACATATATAAATAAATATTATCTTTGCCCCAAAGAAATCCAAAGAATCCAACATACATAAATCAACTATCAACAAAGATATTATATTTGTTAAACCTCTTTTGTTACCAACACTTTCTTGCTTGCTTGTTTTTTTAAAGAAGATAAAATTTATTACAAAAAAAAGAAAAGAAAAGCATACAATTTATAGTAAGCCTAAAGAGAAAGTCAGCATCAACCTTCCTAGCTTCTAGCCAGTCATGTATAAGATTCTGTACCTATTTAGACACCAGAAGGATTTTTGCTGGCCAGATTCTATCCAATAAATCAGGCAACCTCTCCACCAGACAAAAAACAAGTGAACATCAAACTTTCTCTAAAGAAATCCTAGTCAAAAGAATTCAAAGAATAAACAAACAACAAACTCAATTATATCAATTATCCAAGTTATGCAGAATCAAGTAATCTACAACACAAATCAAAATATAAACATGTTAACAATATAAGCAAGTCAATAACATTAATACATCAACATATCAACAATACAATTATGTCACATCATTATCACATCAACATGTCTATACTATAAACATATCAATACCTTTTCAATAACAGACATGTCAATAACTTATCAACAATACAAACACATCAGCGATCCACTATCACCTAAACATGTCAACAATTAAATACCATTATAAACATATCAACAACTTGCCAGTAAACATGAACATGTCAACACAAATACACCAATACAAATATACTAATAAACATATTCACAATTTATTATCAACATAACATAGGAAAAATATCATTATATATACTATACATGTGTTCGTATTTAATTCAGACATTTTTCAAAAACCATATTATGTTCATATTACTAAGTAGGGCTCCTAACTATACCACTTCGATACCAGTTTGATACTTAAATTTACTATAAAAACATATGAATAGATCACAACCTATATATTAAATTTACTATAGATCAGTACCATTTCAATACCAGTTCGGTACTTTTTTAGAGCCCTATTACTAAGTAACAATTAGTAAGTAATTGGAAATCATATTTAATTCAGAATCGTATTGTCGATCAAATATCCTTTTATAGTAATAAGGAAACATGTATAATATATACTATTCATCCTTCCCATACTTTATAAAATGTCAACAAACTAATTCTCCCAATTTCCAGCCAACACTCCAACCAATTCACTTCAAGTCCTGACAATATCCTAACCTTATCATGTATCAAACAGCCCTACTATCCTAGATATTATTCTTGTAGAAAGAAGAAAACAACTCTGCATTAATATATATGGATTATAATAACAACATAATCATTACAGAACCCGCCAACTCCATCACTACTTCACTACTATCAAACTTGACACACCCCAACTCTTCAAATCTTTCTGTAATTCAAAAGGCTTTTTAATTATATTCGTATGTCGAATTTATGTTCACGTGATCCGGAAATTTCGTTCAAAACAATGCATGTATACTGTACAAATACTGTATGTATGAACACACCCCCATATCTTTTATTTTTGGAAAAATCACTGCTTACTATATATACAAAATTTGTCAGAGATAAAAACTAACCGACACCATTACCATTTATTTTTTCAAAATTGTGAGGACGAAAATTATTATGTAGACCGATGGTCTCTGGTGAATGCAAGTTTTCTCTTGATGATTTTGCCAAATCATTACGTACATTTTCTAAATGACTCAAATATTCATTGGTGATTCCACCAGTAACATAATGCCCATCAAATACAGAACAATCGAAGGATTTAATTTTCGGATTGAACTTTTGGCATGAGGTAATCAGATCCTCGAGATTCTTAATTAGAGAGTGGAATTTTAATAAAGGCGCAGATTTAGGCTACTACCGATAAAGAAACGAATATATTACCTGATATATCACCATATCGGCACCAATCTCTTTTGCAACCAAATCTTCGTCACGATTGAATGCTATAAGCTCTCTGCGGGACGGCATATCAATGCCATAAACGTTGGGAAATCTGTAAAATTTGTTTCCCGACAGAAAACAATGAGATCCCGCCTTTGGATGAACATTAATTTAAGGATTATTTCATAAAATATACTTGACCTGATTGGGGGTGCACAGGATGCAAAATATACTTTCTTTGCGCCTGCATCACGTGCCATCTGCACAATTTCTTTGGAAGTTGTGCCCCTTACAATTGAATCTATTATTTGTGTAGCACAAATATGGTTTAAGTTCACGTGTATTCATAGATATAGGCGAGTAACGAATAATATCCGTAATGAAATACCATCAACTATTAACACGTTCTTGCCAGCAAACTCCAGGGCCATGGCGTTCAATTTTCGCCTCACATTTTCTCGACGCATCTTTTGTCCGGGCATTATGAAGGTACGACCTACGTAACGATTCTTGATGAATCCTTCACGATAGGAAATCTTCAATTTATAAGACGTTTGGAGAGCTGCTACACGACTTGTGTCAGGTACCTGTTGGTCATACATGGTGAAGATAAGCCCATTTTCACAAAAACCAACCCTAATATATTAACGCATGGATACCGGAATGACGACATCAATGTCCATATTATCACCACACTTTTTGATTACTTGGTCGGCTAAATGCTCGCCCATTTCTAATCTTGAGCGATACACAGAGATTCCATCGATAACAGAATCGGGACGCGCAAAATAAACGTATTCGAATATACAAGGGGTAAAATTTCCTTCTTGTAATAGCTGTCGTTTTGTCATATCCGTCTTAGTAATTATAACGGCCTCACCTATTTGTGATATAAGCATGAGCGATGTAAAAAAAAGTTGAAGCATCAATACTCAAACTCACCAGGGTTTATGTCCTTGATATCTGAGAATCCTGAAGCATCCAACACAACACTCTCGGATGAGAACATATAGTCAACACCAGCAGGACTTTTCCGCGTGCCGTAGCATATAGGTCGTATCCCATGCGAATCACGAAATCCAATAATGCCAAATCCTGCAAAGAAAATAATAGAGATGTGTGTGCGCATGAATTTTTTTTATCATTCAATAATTAAAAACCTTGGTACAGTACCTGCGATCATTGCTACACACGCATAACCGCCTATACACTTTTCGTAGATGCCTCTTATCGCAGTAAAAATATCTTCCTCATTAATTCTAATGACATCAAGAGATGTGGACATTAAACGAATGATTGATGCGTAAATAGCATTTATTCACTGGTTCGATGAACGTTGATGCTTATTATACATGAATGTTCCTTACCTTGGTTTATTGATCATTTGTAAATTGTCAGCAAATATGTTTAATAAAAGTTCTGAATCTGAATCCGTATTTATGTGGCGATGAGCCCTAAAATCAAGGAGATTCTTTAATTCGACTGCGTTGATAAGGTTTCCATTCTAAAATTAAAATTGTCGTTTGTTGTTTAAATCTCATAAACTTTCTTTGTTTACGTGATAACAATTTCAAAACTACCAAAAAAGAACTAAGACATCTGTTTATGGAAGCGTATGAGACGAATTTTTCTCTTATCGTGTGTCATTATAATCTCATCTATAAAAGTAAACGTACGTGGGCAAACACTATTCCATAAGGACTGTTCACATAAAATGGTTGTGCTTCGGAATGAGAAGAACTACCAGCCGTGGGATAGCGAACTAATGGATTGTAGTGAAGGAAGAAAACAACGCATCGGAAAAAAAATTGGAAACAAAGGAATCAACGATCATCCGTCAATTTCCTTAAGATTTTGAAATAAAGATATCCTACCGTGACCAACGCCTAGACTTCCAACCAAATTTTCTAGGTGTTCACGATTAAAAACATCTCTAACCATGCCGTTCCCTTTACACTGATAAAGACGACCTTTTTGTCCACACGTAACAATTCCAGCCGCATCCTTTTTAGAAAGTTTACGTTTACTAATTTGTTATGAACTCTTTCTCGAAATTAGTGTCTTTAGCAAGGATACCTGTCCCCTGTGTTGTAATAATTGTAAACCTTCGAATAATTCATAACTCGCTGAGGCGGTAGAGTCTGCGAGTAGCAATGCCAATATTCCGCACATTATTTAATGTATTTAATGAGATAAAAATTTATAAATTGTCTTTCGACCTTTATATAAAGAAATTTTTTTACATTGTGGGTTAATGGTGCGTAATTATTGGCTGATTGATTTTTGATTATCAAAGTATTCGTGTAGCCCTTATCTATTGCTATAAAACAAATAATGCATTAATACATGTATATTGACGAAATTTTCTAGAAATGTTAAGATAACAATGGCCAAATAGCTTAATGAAATTCCCCTGTATAAGCAAAATTTACGCACGTACGAACGTACATGCATATGCGGTTATGTGAGTAAATAGATACTTGTTTCGTTCTTATTTGTTTTAACATCAAACTTGAAATATCAAGTACTAACCCAGTAATTTAGTGACATTTAAAAATTAATTCATTAAATCTATGAAAATATCCTGTTTGGTATTTACACATGTCGACCTTCTAGATATCTACATATACAGTTGCCGGTTTGGATTACTAACCGGCGGTTCATAACATAGTTAAAAAAAATTTTTTTTTTTTTTTTTTAATTGGCTAAGGGCATTAGATGCGAGACATTTTATTAAACATAAGTTTTATCGTCATTACATCAAACATCTTTACAAAGTAGGCTATTGCTATCCTAAATGCAAGTTAATGCTACCTATGATTACCATTTCCAGCAACACCGGTTTCCCCTAGACCAACTATGACATACCCAGCTATACGGAATTTTAAACATCAAGTAGATGATCCACATGCCAGGTGGGACTTACATGGGAGTGGAAATCCTACCACTAGTTTAAACCATCTTCCTACTAGGTCCTGTCGTGACTGCATCCATCATGGGTAAGGCACATTATGGAATATTATTATAGAGATTAATTCCAGTATTCCAGTCACTGTTATCACCGATCCTCGAGATGTACCACTAGCGTAACGTAGTACTACCGTTTTCACCACCTGTGAAACTGGTGTCCTTGCTTGAATTCCGATTTAATCTTGTAGGTCCTTACTAGACACACTTGGCTTAACGATTTTTGTCTAGTATTCTCACCACCTGTGGCTGATATCTTACCCTTCGGTCATATGATTAAGTTCCGTAGAACGCCACTATTGGGATAGATCTACAAGCTCCAGATTGGAAAAGAACAGCTTAGAATTAACCTCTTTTTTTTGGGAATTGTGTGATGGAGTCTGCCATCGCCAGTTTGAGTTAAAGTGGGCTTTTTACCGAAGTTAGATCAGAAGTCTTTCCTTATGCAACCTTCCTTGCTTTGACCTGTTTTCAGCCCGTGATCGTCGGGAAGATCAGAGGTCCCATCTTCATGCAGCCTAACTAATTTTGGAAGATGATTTGCAGCTGATTGGGTACGACATGAATTGGAAGCCAGTCAACCAATCATGAAGATGATAAATTTTTGTAACCAGGCGGGGTTAAACCCTAGATCTTCACCTGGTGACCTATGAAGCTTTACCACTGAGCTATAGACCCATAGGTATTATTATTTTTTTTTTATAATTAAACAAGTATTATTATATTTATTTAATATAAAATTAACAATATAAATATAATATTTTTATATATAAACTAAACTAATACTTAAATATTTATTATTAATTAACAATCTTTAAATATAATTTTGAAAATAAATAAAGTTGCTTCTTTATTTTTTTTATTATTTAAAAAATTTGAGTAGAGGTTTAATTAATATTATTCAATACAATATAATATAAAATCAATATTGAAAATTTTTTTTGATATCAATATTAATAATTATTGGAAATTTTTAATATAAAACTTTAAAATATAAATAATAAATTGAAAGTATCAAAATTAAAGTTTATATTATATGAAATAGTTAATTTTTTTAAAAATATCTAGAAAAAACTATATATTAAAAATATTTGCTTAACTTGTTCTGATTTTAGATATTTATTTTAGAAAATTATTATTTTGTTTTAAAAAAAAATTAAAATTTTGAAACATTTAATTTATTGTGATAAAAGATTTAAAGCTTTGAAGCAAAAAATAGAAAAATTAAATGAAAAGTTGAAAATATCTAAAGATATATACTTTTTTTATAGTTACAATAAAGAATTAAAACTAAAAAATCTAAATATAAAAAATAAAATATTTTATTTAGATGATTTTTTTTAATTGTTAGAAAATTTTGTATCTGTTTTTTTTGATGTCTTTTTTATTTAACTAAAGATTTGCTTTTTTTTAATTTTTTTTTAAAGTTTATAAATTTATTATAAAAAATATAATGGTTATTAAATATATTTAGTAGATCAGCTATAATAAATAAAAAGTATTTAATAAATTACTTCTATTGTATTATATTTTTTACTTGTTTTTTTTGTTTTTTTAAATTTTTTTTTTGTTTAAATATTCAATAATACTTGTATTTGAATTAATATAAGTAAAAAATCATATTATTAAAATATCTGCATTTATATTATATAATCTAAGTATTGAATTTCCAGTAGCAAAAGAATATTTTAAGATTTTAAAAAAAAATTTTTTTTTAAAGTGGAATGTGCGCAAGGCATGTGATCTTTATTGATACATTTTTATATCCAGACAGATATTAAGTGTTTCTACAAATTAATTGAAAATCAGTTGATACTTGAATATCCGTTATATCTTCTATAGTTAATTTACAGATTAACACTACCTAGTATATATATTGCTATAAAACTAACTACACTAACCACTTATAACCCAACTATGCGTTTATCCTGAATTTCATATAATAGAGGGTTGTAAAAGATATGTCATAGTAATGGTGATATTGTTTCTCCTTGGTCTATTCCATTTCCTGCTATTACTTTTTTCGTTGTTCTTACATTTGTAATTATCTTCAGTAATCTGCCGATGAAGGGATTTAAGATAAGTGTTGCAAGCTTTTCTGGAATTTTGATCCTTTGAAGTACCTTCTGTAACATTTTTAGATTGATTATGTCATATGCCTTAGCTGTGTCTTGAAATAATATCCACAACTCCTTCTTTTTTTCTCTGGCTTCTTTGCAGATGTTGTTTAACAAGTGGATGGGTTTTGAAGTGCTTTCTCCAGATAGTTTTGCAAAGTTGGGACCCTTTAGAATATTATGTCTTTTACAAATAGTGGATAATTGGTTGGTGATAAATTTTGTGAAGTATTTTCGTATAATATCTAGAAGGACTATAGGTCTGGTGTTGCTTAAGTTGCCTTGCCATTCTTTTCCCTTTGAAATAAAATAAAGTAGACTTTCCTTCCATGCTACTGGGATCGTACTGTGGACTAAATATATATTCATAAGTTGACATAATATTTTTTTCCCTTCTGATTTTAATTTTTGAGTATTTTATATTTGATCTTGTTGGGTCCTGCTGCTTTATCATTGGGAAGGTCTCTCAATACTTCTTCCAACTTATTTTGGAAAATGGTATTCATTGTTTCGTTGTACTATTCCTCTTTTATTTCAGCTTTTGGTACATATTGTTTTTTCTATTTTTTATCCAATAGCTCAAAGTTATTATTTATCTTTTTGAAAGCTTTTTTGTAATATTCTTCGGTCTGGTATAGAATTTTCTCTTTGTTTATTGATATGTATTCTCTTCCTAGTTTGTCTTGAACACGTATTCTGTCTATGGTTATCTTGTCTCGAAAGTTGTTTGTTAGACCTTGTACTACTTTTTTTTGGTTCTTTTTGAGATTTTTACATCTTTCTACAATTGCTTGCTTGATTTCTGCATTGGTTCTACTTCTTTCTTCATTGAGATATATTTTTTTTAGGGAACTGGTTATTTCTTTAAGTTGAAGAGCTAGTGTGTCCTTCTTTTCTTTTTCTTCCAGGGTTCTGGTTAATTCTTGAATGGAGTTGAAGGTTGAAGCTATCAATGCTATCTTTGGTTAATTTCATTGTATTCCTTCCATAATTTTTGAGCTTGCAATGGTTTTTCTTTGAGGTCTTGGAAATTGACCCAACTGTTGAGGGTTTTGGTAATTAGATAGTAGCTACAAAATGCAAGTTGTTCTCTTTGACTCTTCTTATATTTACGCAATTTGACTGTTCTCCTTGTTGTTCTTTTTTCACAATATAGGTGATTGAAGGCTGCAGTTATTAGGGTTTTCTCGAATATTTTCCATGAGTCTTGGATTAATTATATCCTTCTATCACTATTTGTCTGTTCATTGTTTATTGTATGGATTAAAGTTGTAATGCCACTTCGTTGAAGCTTTTGATCGACCTTGTGAGCATATTTTTTCCATTGTGATTCTGTTGTTTTGGAGATGTTGATTATTTTTTTTCTATATGGCTTAAGGTTTTCCATATTTATTTGATGGTTTTGAAAAAGGACATCTCATATAATTTTAACAGATAGTGTGGTGTGGTCACTGTTGGAAATTGAGCGAAAGTCTTTATTGCTGAATTGGAGAATATTGTTTGCTATGCCATAAGATCCCCAAATATAATTAATTCTATTGTAGCTTATTTTTTTTTCCCAAGTATATGTAGTTTCAACTGGTTCCCATAATTGTTGTAGATTAGAAAGATTTCAATTGTCCATGTGGTTAAATAATTCGATTTCTAGATCTTCAGATCTGGTGAACTCTTGTGTGTTGTTTATTGTTTTATGATCTGTTCTTGGATTTAATGTTGTGTTAAAATTACTCATAATTATGATTTCATAGCTTTTCTGTGAATAGGCTTGTAATAACTTGAGGATCTTTTTCTGTAGTTCTTGGCTTTTTCTTCTATCACTGGATAGGTATATTTGAATGATCCATGTTTTGTGGCCTCTGTTCAATAGATTAATTGCTACTAGATAACCTTCGATTGTGTCTATAGATGCTATGTATCTTTTGATATTTCTATGAATTAGCAATAGGACCCCTGCACTTCTGGGGTTATCTGACTCAATACTTGAGATACACTTGAAGTCTTTTTGGTTTGGAAATGTGAAGTATTGATTTTCTTTGGAGAGCTTGGTTTTACAGAGACCTAAGATATTAATTCTTTTCTCTAACAGTT